AAATGGTGCATCGGCCAGTCTGGCCGGCATTTCGCACTTTTAGTGCAACTAGGGCCAAGGAGTACGGAAACGCTCATTTCTCAAAAAGTAGAGGGAATCCAGCGGTCTCACTCGATCAGAAGGTGGGAAATATATAATTATAGTGAGCTAATAAGGTTCGAAAGGAATCTAATGCATATGTATATGGAAAATGGTGCATTGGCCAGGTCGGTCAGTATGGGAACTTGGAGTGCAAATGCCAGGGAGAACGGAACGGCTCAGATCTCGCATAGTACACGGAATCTAGTGGTCTCACTCAAATAGAATGTAGAAAATAAATTCATCTAGTGAACGTAAGGGTTTGAAAGGTAACTAACGCACTTGTGTAGAGAAAATGGTGCATCGGCCAGTCTGGCCGGCATTTCGCACTTTTAGTGCAACTAGGGCCAAGGAGAACGGAAACGCTCATTTCTCAAAAAGTAAAGGGAATCTAGCGGTCTCACTCGATCAGAAGGTGGGAAATATATAAATCTAGTGAGCTAATAATGTTCGGAAGGAATCTAATGCATATGTATATGGAAAGTGGTGCATTGGCCAGGTCGGTCAGTATGGGAACTTAGAGTGCAAATGCCTCGGAGAACGGAACCGCTCAGATCTCGCATAATACATGGAATCTAGTGGTCTCACTCAAATATAAGGTAAGAAATATATGCATCTAGTGAACGTAAGGGTTTGAAAGGTAACTAACGCACATGTGTAGAGAAAATTGCGCATCGGCCAGTCTGGCCGGCATTTCGCACTTATAGTGCAAGTAGGGCCAAGGAGAACGGAAACGCTCATTTCTCAAAAAGTAGAGGGAATCTAGCGGTCTCACTCGATCAGAAGGTGGGAAATATATAAATCTAATGAGCTAATCAGGTTCGAAAGGAATCTAATGCATACGTATATGGAAAATGGTGCATTGGCCAGGTCGGTCAGTATGGGAACTTAGAGTGCAAATGCCAGGGAGAACGGAAGCGCTCAGATCTCGCATAGTACACGGAATCTAGTGGTCTCACTCAAATAGAAGGTAGGAAATAAATTCATCTAGTGGACGTAAGGGTTTGAAAGGTAACTAACGCACATGTGTAGAGAAAATGGAGCATCGGCCAGTCTCGCCGGCATTTCGCACTTATAGTGCAAGTAGGGCCAAGGAGAACGGAAACGCTCATTTCTCAAAAAGTAAAGGGAATCTAGCAGTCTCACTCGATCAGAAGGTGGGAAATATATAAATCTAGTGAGCTAATAAGGTTCGAAAGGAATCTAATGCATACGTATATGGAAAATGGTGCATTGGCCAGGTCGGTCAGTATGGGAACTTAGAGTGCAAATGCCAGGGAGAACGGAAGCGCTCAGATTTCGCATAGTACACGGAATCTAGTGGTCTCACTCAAATAGAAGGTAGGAAATAAATTCATCTAGTGAACGTAAGGGTTTGAAAGGTAACTAACGCACATGTGTAGAGAAAATGGAGCATCGGCCAGTCTGGCCGGCATTTCGCACTTATAGTGCAAGTAGGGCCAAGGAGAACGGAAACGCTCATTTCTCAAAAAGTAAAGGGAATCTAGCACTCTCACTCGATCAGAAGGTGGGAAATATATAAATCTAGTGAGCTTATAAGGTTCGAAAGGAATCTAATGCATATGTATATGGAAAATGGTGCATTGGCCAGGTCGGTCAGTATGGGAACTTAAACTGCAAATGCCTGGGAGAACGGAACCGCTCAGATCTCGCATAATACACGGAATCTAGTGGTCTCACTCAAATATAAGGTATGAAATATATTCATCTAGTGAACGTAAGGGTTTGAAAGGTAACTAAAGCACATGTGTAGAGAAAATGGTGCATCGGCCAGTCTGGCCGGCATTTCGCACTCATAGTGCAGGTGGGGCCAGGGAGAACGGAAACGCTCGTTTCTCAAAAAGTAGAGGGAATCTAATGGTCTCACCCGATCAGAAGGTGGGAAATATATAAATCTAGTCAGCTAAAAAGGTTTGAAATGTATTCAACGCACATGTATAGAGAAAATGGTGCATTGGCCAGGTCGGTCAGTATCGGAACTTAAAATGCAAATGCCAGGGAGAACGGAAGCGCTCAGATCTCGCATAGTACACGGAATCTAGTGGTCTCACTCAAATAGAATGTAGGAAATAAATTCATCTAGTGAACGTAAGGGTTTGAAAGGTAACTAACGCACATGTGTAGAGAAAATGGTGCATCGGCCAGTCAGGCCGGCATTTCGCACTTTTAGTGCAACTAGGGCCAAGGAGAACGGAAACGCTCATTTCTCAAAAAGTAAAGGGAATCTAGCGGTCTCACTCGATCAGAAGGTGGGAAATATATAAATCTAGTGAGCTAATAATGTTCGGAAGGAATCTAATGTCAGAACATGTAGCTTACTTGTTTCTGTAGGCTATAGTGGGGTATCCCATAAGGGGTACAACCCAATCAGGGTTTCCTATTTGTACTCACTTCGTTCATAGTCATTCCATTCTCGTTCAATTCTTCTCATGGAATTAGAGCAGGTCCCCTCCTAGGGACTGTTCCTAGGGCCCACCGAAGCGCGCCCCGAGGCGCGCGTTCTTTTTTTTTAGCGACCCTGCGTGTCGCCCCTACCGTCGCGCTCCCGCCGCTCCCTCCTCTGACGGCCGCCCGCCCTAGCGCCCGAGCGCCGCCGCCCTTGCGCCCTGACGGCCGCCCGCCCTAGTGCCCTGACGGCCGCCCGCTCTAGCGCCCGAACGTCGCCCGCCCTAGCGCCCTGACGGCCGCCCGCCCTAGCGCCCTGACGGCCGCCCGCCCTAGCGCCCGAGCGCCGCCCGCCCTAGCGCCCAGACGGCCGCCCGCCCTAGCGCCCTGACGGCCGCCCGCCCTAGCGCCCGAGCGCCGCCCGCCCTAGCGCCCGGGCGCCGCCCGCCCTAGCGCCCGAGCGCCGCCCGCCCTAGCGCCCGAGCGCCGCCCGCCCTAGCGCCCTGACGGCCGCCCGCCCTAGCGCCCGTGCGCCGCTCGCCCTAGCGCCCTGACGGCCGCCCGCTCTAGTGCCCTGACGGCCGCCCGCCCTAGCGCCCGAGCGCAGCCCGCCCTAGCGCCCTGACGGCCGCCCGCCCTAGCGCCCTGACGGCCGGCCGCCCGCCCTAGCACCCGTGCGCCGCTCGCCCTAGCGCCCGAGCGCCGCCCGCCCTTTCGCCCTTACGGCCGCCCGCCCTGACGCCTGAGCGCCGCCCGTCGCAGCCGCCCGTGAGCTGCCTGTACGCCGCCCGCCGAGCCTCCCGTGCACCCGCCGTCCCTGAGCCGCCCGCGCCGCCGTCCCTGAGCCGCCTGTGCAGCCGCCCGCGAGCTGCCAGCGAGCCGCCCGTCGCGACGCCCGCGCCGCACGAGCCGCCCGTACAGCCGAGCCGCCCGAGCCGCCCGAGCCGCCCGCGCCGCCCCAGCAACCCGAGCCGCCCGAGCCGCCCGAGCCGCCCGAGCCGCCCGAGCCGCCCGAGCCGCCCGCGCCGCCCCAGCAAACCGAGCCGCCCGAGCCGCCCGGGCAACCTGAGGAGCCGAGCTCCTGCTCCTGCGTGGCTGCTGCTGCTCCGAGGCGTGCGCAGCTGCTGTTCTGCCGAGTTGCTGAGCCGCTGTGCTACCCGACTCTTCGTGCCCGGTGAGACAATCAGCTGCTGCAATGGCCACCCCCAGTGTCCTGTCTTTTGACGCTGAGGGTCGCGCCATTGACTTCCCAGTCTGGATTGAGGACCTGCAGCTGTACTTACTGTGCGATGCGATCGATGAGGTTTCTCTCTTTGACTTTGTCTCTGGAGCTGTCCCTGCCCCTCCTGCTGATGCTGACCCTGCTGTTCGCTCCAAGTGGGCCACACGCGATGCTGCTGCACGTCTTGCTGTGCGTCGCCACCTCCCTTCCTCCGAGCGTGCCCACTTTAGTCAGTGCAAGACCGCTCAGGCCTTGTACGACGCTGTAGTTGCACGCTACTCCTCCCCTTCCTCCGCTACGCTGAGCCGCCTCATGCTACCGTTTCTCTTCCGTGACCTCGCTGCCTTTCCCACTGTCGCTGACCTCGTTACCCACCTCCGCTGCTAGTGACGCTCCCTACCGCGCTGCCCTTCCTGCTGAGTTCCGCGCCGCAAACCCTCCTCCCATGTACATCACTCTCTACTTTCTCGTCACCCGTCTCCCTGAGTCCCTTCGTGTCGTTAGGGACCAGTTTCTCTCTGTCTGTCCCACCACCCTCACTGTCGACCTCCTTGAGGAGTCCCTGCTAGCGGCTGAGAAGAGCATCGTCGCTGTAGGGGCCTCTCGAGGTGACCCTCGCACCCCCATCTTTGAGGGGTGTTCTCCTTCCCCCCTGCTGCCCTCTGTCGCCTCTGCCGCTGCGGCCGACCTCGCTAGTTTTGAGTCGGTCGGTGCGGCGTCTGCCCCCAGCGGTAGACGCCGCTCTGGCAAGGGCAAGGGGGGCAAGGGAGCGGGTGGAGCTAGAGGGGGCAGTGGAGGCGGAGGAGGTGGGGGTGGCGGAGGGAGTGGGGGTGGCGGTGGAGGTGGTGGCGGGAGTGGAGGTACTGGTGGAGGCGGTGGAGGCGGAGGTGGCGGCGGAGGCGGTGGCGGAGGAGGCGGGGGTGGCGGTGGCGGCGGGGGTCGGAGTGGCTCGTCCCAGCGGAGCAGCTCTGGGGGTGGCCAGCGCCAGCAGCAGCAGCAGCAGCAGCAGCAGCAGCAGCGCCCTCGCACCGTCCCCGCCCCTCAGCAGCTCCGTGAGTGGTACTTGCAGCGTCAGCGTGGTGGTGCGTTTGGTCCCTGCCCCTACGTTCTTCGCACCGGTGACCGTGCGGGGGAGAGGTGTGGAGGCACCCACGCAGCCCGCCGCTGCTTTGGCCGCCTGACCGACGCCTGGCGTCAGCAGTTTCCGGAGGCCGCTGAGATCCCCCGCTGGGGGGAGCTGTCTAGGGCTGGTGTAGCCATTTATGATCTTGACTTTGATGCTATTCTTTCTGCTATGTATGCTGTGACTGGTAGTGATGAGGATGACTGTTACCGGTGTTTCCCGCCCGACCCGGGCATTGGTACTGCTGCGTCAGGTGCTAGTGAGGCTGCTGCTCTAGGTGCCAGTGCGTCTGTGCTCTCAGGTACTGGTGAGTTTGCCCTCTCAGGTACTGTGTCGGCTTCGGCCTCTCACACCTTCACCCTTGACTCTGGAGCGTCTCGCTCCTTCTTTCGGGACCGCACCACTCTCACGCCGCTGAGTCGGCCGGTTGCGGTGTCCCTGGCTGACCCCTCTGGGGGGCCTGTCCTTTCTCGCTTCTCCACGGTCCTTCCGTGTCCTGCGGCCCCCTCTGGCACCCTGTCTGGTCTCTACCTCCCCTCGTTCTCGACGAACCTGGTGAGTGGTGCTGACCTACAGGATGCGGGTGTCCACCAGTTCACTCCTGCTCGTCAGCGAGTGACCCACTGCACGGAGGCTAGCACGGGACGCCACCTGGCTACGTTTACACGTCGGCCAGGGTCGAGCCTGTACACACTGACCACTGCTTCTCCTCCAGGTGCTGAGTCTGGTAGGGTCCCTTCGTCTGGTCAGGTGTTTGCCGCAGCGTCCAGGTCTGGTCCTGAGTCTGCCCCCTGTTCGTGTCGTCGTCTGTCTCACGAGACCCTCCTCTGGCACCACCGCCTTGGCCACCCCTCTCTGCTTCGGCTCAGAGGCATGGCCTCCCGTCTTCTTGTGTCTGGTCTCCCCCAGTCTCTACCTCCCCTTCCTCAGGGCCCTGGCCCTGCCTGTGTCCCCTGTGTCGAGGGGCGCCAGCGTGCTGCCCCTCACTCCTCCCAGTTTCCTCCGACAGAGGCCCCGTTGCAGACGCTTCACATGGACGTGTGGGGCCCAGCCCGCGTCCGTGGACAGGGTCAGGAGGGCTACTTCCTGCTCGTTGTTGACGACTACTCGCGTTACACCACGGTCTTCCCCTTGCGCAGCAAGGGTGAGGTCACTGAGGTGCTGATCGACTGGATCCGCGCAGCTCGTCTTCAGCTCAGGCAGAGCTTTGGCTCCGACTTTCCTGTGTTGCGTCTGCACTCGGACAGAGGCGGAGAGTTCTCCTCTGGCCTTCTGCGTGCCTACTGTCGTGCGCGAGGCATCCGCCAGTCCTTCACGCTTCCGGACTCCCCGCAGCAAAATGGGATTGCTGAGCGCCGCATTGGCATGGTCATGGACGTCGCCCGTACGTCCATGATGCATGCGGCTGCCCCCCATTTTCTGTGGCCGTTTGCGGTCAGGTACGCCGCGCATCAGATCAACCTCCACCCCAGGGTCTCCAGGCCGGAGACCTCCCCAGCCCTGCTGTGGACGGGGAAGGTTGGTGATGCGTCGGCGTTCTGGTTCTGGGGATCTCGGGCGTTTGTCCGCGACTTGTCTGCGGACAAGCTGTCCCCTCGCGCTGCTCCCTGCGTCTTCCTGGGGTTCCCCCCCGACGCCCCTGGGTGGCAGTTCTACCACCCCACCTCTCGACGTGTTCTGTCCTCCCAGGACGTCACGTTCGACGAGTCGGTACCCTACTACCGCCTCTTCCCCTACCGCACTCCGTCCCTCCCCCCACCCCCGCTCTTCTTGGTACCAGGTCCCCCCCCGGTAGACCCCCTCCCCCGTCAGGGTCCTGCCCCTTCAGGTGTGTCCCAGGTAGACGCGGTCGAGCCTGTCGAGGTCACTGGTGACTCTGGTGCTGCTGCGGGAGCTGAGCCTGGGGGTGCGGAGCCTGGGGGTGCGGAGCTTGGGGGGTGCTGTGCCTGGGGGTGCTGTGCCGGGGGGTGCGGAGCCTGGGGGTGCGGAGACTGGGGGTGCTGAGCCTGGGGGTGCTGAGCCTGGAGGTGCCGAGCCTGGGGGTGCTGAGCCTAGGGGTGCTGCGCCTGGGGGTGCTGAGCCTGGGGGTGCTGAGCCTGGGGGTGCTGAGCCTGGGGGTGCTGTGCCTGGGGGTGCTTCGTCTCGCCGGGAGCCACTCTCCCCACAGGAGCTGCGTGAGTGGTTTGCCAGGCGCTGGAGGCGTGCTGCTGGTGTTGGTGGTTCTTCGGCTGCAGAGGGTACTGCTGCCGCGCGTCCCGGTGGTGCTCGTACTGTGGGTGCTGGAGCTGCTGGGTCTGAGGGTTCTCCTGGAGCTGGTGCTGCTGAGGGTGTTGGCGCTGTGCCTGCCGCTGGCGGTCCGACTGACAGTGCTCCTGGTGCTGCTGCTGGAGGTTCTGGTGCTGCTGGAGGTGCTACTGTAGTGGGTGCTCCTGCTGGGGGTACTGGTGCTGTTCCTGCTGTTTCTGGCGTCGCCGCGCGGCCCCGACCGTACTTCGTTCCGCTCCTGCAGCAGGTTCTTGGTCTTACACCTCCTCCTCCCTTAGAGGGTCCGCAGCCTGTCCGGTCACAGCCACAGCTACAGCCTGCCTCCCCTTTGCCTGCTCCTTCTCCCTACGCTGGTCCGACTGGAGGTCTTACTGAGCGTCGTGAGCCTGCGTCTCGTCCTGCGTTGCCTGTTCGTACTGAGCGCGCTAGTGGTCGCGGGTCGCGTCAGCGTCCTCCTCCTGTCCCTGGCACGCACCGGATGTCACTGCGTCCGTCCACTGCTCCTCTGCGTGCCCCTTTGCCTTCTCCTCCTGCTTCCTCTCTTCCTGCTCTTGCCGACCCGGAGTCGGACTCTCTTCGTGCTGCCAGTCCTACTGTCACGCGTCTTCTTGCTACTGCTGTCACTGACCCTTCCTTCGAGTCGTCTGCTGCTTCTGCCCTTGTCACTGAGCTTGTCGACTTTGCTGCACGCTGTCGTCTAGACTACGCTGCCAGTCTTGTCGCTGAGTCTGAGTCTGCCTGTCCTCCGTCCGTCGGGGGTGAGTGTGCCCTCGGCACGGACGTCCTTGAGGACAGGCAGGAGGAGTTCCAGTGTCTGGCAGCCGCTTCACCTCATCTCGCGTCTGTACTGCTAGCCCCTGAGGGAGACCCGGATGCACCAGACATCCCGACTCCGCGCTCTTACGCGGAGGCGATAGAGGGTCCCTACTCCTCTCAGTGGCAGGCAGCTATGGATGCAGAGATGGCTTCCTGGAAGTCCACAGGCACCTACGTCGACGCTGTTCCCCCTCCTGGGGCGAACATCGTCAGTGGCATGTGGATTTTCAGGGTGAAGCGGCCGCCGGGTTCACCGCCTGTCTTCAAGGCGCGTTACGTGGCTCGTGGCTTCAGTCAGCGGCAGGGGGTTGACTACTTTCAGACCTTCTCCCCCACCCCGAAGATGACTACTCTTCGGGTTCTGCTGCACGTTGCTGCTCACCGTGACTACGAGCTGCACTCTCTCGACTTCAGCACAGCTTTCTTGCAGGGCAGCCTGCACGAGGAGATCTGGCTGCGCCGCCCACCTGGCTTCACTGGGTCGTTCCCTCCTGGTACCCAGTGGAGTCTCTAGCGTCCAGTCTACGGTCTCCGCCAGGCGCCTCGTGAGTGGCACGACACACTGAGGACTACGCTCGCGACACTTGGGTTTGCTCCGTCTACTGCCGACCCGTCGCTGTTTCTGCGCACCGACACCTCTCTGCCGCCGTTCTACATCCTCGTGTACGTCGACGACTTGGTCTTTGCCACAGCTTACACTGCTGGACTCGCCTACGTGAAGTCCGAGCTGCAGAAGAGACACACGTGCACTGACCTGGGTGAAGTGCGTAGCTACCTTGGCTTGCAGATCACCCGGGACAGAGCGCGCCGCACCATTACCCTGACTCAGTCACACATGGTGCAGCAGGTCCTTCAGCGCTTCGGCTTCACGTACTCCTCGCCTCAGGCCACTCCTCTGCCTACTCGCCACTCACTCTCAGCTCTGCCTTCGGATGAGTCCGTAGAGTCGAGTGGCCCGTTTGCAGAGCTTGTTGGCTGCCTCATGTACCTGATGACCTGCACACGTCCTGACCTTGCATACCCTCTTAGCATTCTCGCACGCTATGTTGCTCCTGGGAGACACCGACCAGAGCACATGGCTGCAGCGAAGAGGGTGTTGCGCTACTTGTGCAGCACGTCGGGCATGGGGCTAGTGCTTGGAGGGCGCAGTCCAGTGGTCCTCACTGGGCATGCAGACGCTTCTTGGGCTGACGACCAGGCTACGCAGCGGTCGTCACAGGGTTACACCTTCAGCCTTGGTTCCGGCTCTGTTTCGTGGCGGGCTACCCGCTCGTCTTCTGTTCTCGGCTCCAGTTGTGAGGCTGAGATCTACGCTGGGGCTATGGCTGCGCAGGAGTTACGTTGGCTCACCTACCTGCTGACCGACCTTGGAGAGCAGCCTCGTTCTCCTCCAGTCCTGTACGTAGACAACAAGGCCATGCTGGCCTTGTGTCGAGAGCAGCGACTGGAGCACAGAACGAAGCACATTGCTCTCCGCTACTTTCTTGCTCGTGAGCTACAGCAGCGTGGACAGTTGCGACTTGCGTACGTGGCCTCTGAGGCCAACACTGCTGATATCTTCACCAAGGCACTTGCGCCTTGTGATCATCAGCGTTGTTGCACGCAGTTGGGTCTTGTGCCTGTCTTGCCTCACTTGCTCTCCTCTTGACCTTGCTTGTACCTTCGCCTATATATATACTCTTGTTCTTACTTGTTTGCCTCTTGTATATCTCTATATATGATCTTGCATGTGAACTGGCCTTCTGGCCTTTGAACTTGTGCTCGGAATGCGTGGTGACTTTGTGATCCACCCTGAGCTTTGCTTTGCTTTGCTTGACTGGTCTTGTGACCCCTTGTTCTCCCCCACTTTGCCTATGGGGGTGTGTCAGAACATATAGCTTACTTGTTTCTGTAGGCTATAGTGGGGTATCCCATAAGGGGTACAACCCAATCAGGGTTTCCTATTTGTACTCACTTCGTTCATAGTCATTCCATTCTCGTTCAATTCTTCTCATCTAATGCATATGTATATGGAAAGTGGTGCATTGGCCAGGTCAGTCAGTATGGGAACTTAGAGTGCAAATGCCTCGGAGAACGGAACCGCTCAGATCTCGCATAATACATGGAATCTAGTGGTCTCACTCAAATATAAGGTAAGAAATATATGCATCTAGTGAATGTAAGGGTTTGAAAGGTAACTAACGCACATGTGTAGAGAAAATTGCGCATCGGCCAGTTTGGTCGGCATTTCGCACTTATAGTGCGAAACGCTCATTTCTCAAAAAGTAGAGGGAATCTAGCGGTCTCACTCGATCAGAAGGTGGGAAATATATAAATCTAATGAGCTAATAAGGTTCGAAAGGAATCTAATGCATATGTATATGGAAAATGGTGCATTGGCCAGGTCGGTCAGTATGGGAACTTAGAGTGCAAATGCCAGGGAGAACGGAAGCGCTCAGATCTCGCATAGTACACGGAATCTAGTGGTCTCACTCAAATAGAAGGTAGGAAATAAATTCATCTAGTGGACGTAAGGGTTTGAAAGGTAACTAACGCACATGTGTAGAGAAAATGGAGCATCGGCCAGTCTCGCCGGCATTTCGCACTTATAGTGCAAGTAGGGCCAAGGAGAACGGAAACGCTCATTTCTCAAAAAGTAAAGGGAATCTAGCAGTCTCACTCGATTAGAAGGTGGGAAATATATAAATCTAGTGAGCTAATAAGGTTCGAAAGGAATCTAATGCATATGTATATGGAAAATGGTGCATTGGCCAGGTCGGTCAGTATGGGAACTTAGAGTGCAAATGCCAGGGAGAACGGAAGCGCTCAGATCTCGCATAGTACACAGAATCTAGTGGTCTCACTCAAATAGAAGGTAGGAAATAAATTCATCTAGTGAACGTAAAGGTTTGAAAGGTAACTAACCTACATGTGTAGAGAAAATGGTGCATCGGCCAGTCTGACCGGCATTTCGCACTTATAGTGCAAGTAGGGCCAAGGAGAACGGAAACGCTCATTTCTCAAAAAGTAAAGGGAATCTAGCGTTCTCACTCGATCAGAAGGTGGGAAATATATAAATCTAGTCAGCTAATAAGGTTCGGAAGGAATCTAATGCATATGTATATGGAAAGTGGTGCATTGGCCAGGTCGGTCAGTATGGGAACTTAGAGTGCAAATGCCTGGGAGAACGGAACCGCTCAGATCTCGCATAATGCACGGAATCTAGTGGTCTCACTCAAATATAAGGTAGGAAATATATTCATCTAGTGAACGTAAGGGTTTGAAAGGTAACTAACGCACATGTGTAGAGAAAATGGTGCATCGGCCAGTCTGGCCGGCATTTCGCACTCATAGTGCAGGTGGGGCCAGAGAGAACGGAAACGCTCGTTTCTCAAAAAGTAGAGGGAATCTAATAGTCTCACTCGATCAGAAGGTGGGAAATATATAAATCTAGTCAGCTAAAAAGGTTTGAAATGTATTCAACGCACATGTATAGAGAAAATGGTGCATTGGCCAGGTCGGTCAGTATCGGAACTCAAAATGCAAATGCCAGGGAGAACGGAAGCGCTCACATCTCGCATAGTACACGGAATCAAGTGGTCTCACTCAAATAGAAAGTTGGAAATATATTCATCTAGTGAACGTAAGGGTTTGAAAGGTAACTAACGCACATGTGTAGAGAAAATGGTGCATCGGCCAGTCTGGCCGGCATTTCGCACTTATAGTGCAACTAGGGCCAAGGAAAACGGAAACGCTCATTTCTCAAAAAGTAGAGGGAATCTAGCGGTATCACTCAATCAGAAGGTGGGAAATATATAAATCTAGTGAGCTAATAAGGTTCGAAAGGAATCTAATGCATATGTATATGGAAAATGGTGCATTGGCCAGGTCGGTCAGTATGGGAACTTAGAGTGCAAATGCCAGGGAGACGGAAGCGTTCGGATCTCGCATAGTACACGGAATCTAGTGGTCTCACTCAAATAGAAGGTAGGAAATAAATTCATCTAGTGAACGTAATGGTGTGAAAGGTAACTAACGCACATGTGTAGAGAAAATGGTGCATCGGCCAGTCTGGCCGGCATTTCGCACTTATAGTGCAAGTAGGGCCAAGGAGAACGGAAACGCTCATTTCTCAAAAAGTAAAAGGAATCTAGCGGTCTCACTCGATCAGAAGGTGGGAAATATATAAATCTAGTGAGCTAATAAGGTTCGGAAGGAATCTAATGCATATGTATATGGAAAGTGGTGCATTGGCCAGGTCGGTCAGTATGGGAACTTAGAGTGCAAATGCCTGGGAGAACGGAACCGCTCAGATCTCGCATAATACACGGAATCTAGTGGTCTCACTCAAATATAAGGTAGGAAATATATTCATCTAGTGAACGTAAGGGTTTGAAAGGTAACTAACGCACATGTGTAGAGAAAATGGTGCATTGGCCACTCTAGCCGGCATTTCGCACTCATAGTGCAGGTGGGGCCAGGGAGAACGGAAACGCTCGTTTCTCAAAAAGTTGAGGGAATCTAACGGTCTCACTTGATGAGAAGGTGGGAAATATATAAATCTAGTCAGCTAAAAAGGTTTGAAATGTATTCAATGCACATGTATAGAGAAAATGGTGCATTGGCCAGGTCGGTCAGTATCGGAACTTAAAATGCAAATGCCAGGGAGAACGGAAGCGCTCAGATCTCGCATAGTACACGGAATCAAGTGGTCTCACTCAAATAGAAAGTAGGAAATCTATTCATCTAGTGAACGTAAGGGTTTGAAAGGTAACTAACGCACATGTGTAGAGAAAATTGTGCATTGGCCAGTCTGGCCGGCATTTCGCACTTATAGTGCAACTAGGGCCAAGGAGAACGGAAACGCTCATTTCTCAAAAAGTAGAGGGAATCTAGCGGTCTCACTCGATCAGAAGGTGGGAAATATATAAATCTAGTGAGCTAATAAGGTTCAAAAGGAATCTAATACATATGTATATGGAAAATGGTGCATTGGCCAGGTCGCTCAGTATGGGAACTTAGAGTGCAAATGACATGGACGTGGACGGGACATGGACGTGGACATGGACATAGACATGGACGTGGACATGGACGTGGACGTGGACATGGACGTGGATGTGGACATGGACGTGGACGTGTCCATATCCATGTCCACGTCCACGTCCACGTCTATGTCCACGTCCACGTTGACGTCCACGTCCATGTCCATGTCCATGTCCACGTCCACGTCCATGTCCACGTCCACGTCCATGTCCAAGTCCATGTCCCTGTCTACGTCCACGTCCACGTCCATGTCCACGTCCACGTCCTCGTCCACGTCCAGGTCAACGTCCATGTCTACGTCCACGTCCACGTCCATGTCCATGTCCACGTCCACGTCCATGTCCACGACCACGTCCACGTCCACGACCACGTCCACGTCCACGTCCACGTCCACGTCCACGTCTAAGTCCATGTCCACGTCCACGTCCACGTCCACGTCCACGTCCACATCCACGACCATGTCTTCGTCCACATCCACGTCCACGTCCATGTCCACGTCCATGTCCACGTCCAAGTTCTCCACGTCCACGTCCACTTCCACGTCGACGTCCACGTACATGTCCACGTCCATGTCCACGTCCACGTACATGTCCACGTCCACGTCCACGTCCACATCCACGTCCACGTCAACGTCCATCTCCACGTCCAAGTCCTCCACGTCCACGTCCACGTCCATCTCCACGTCCACGTCCACGTCCACGTCCACGCCCACGTCCACGTCCACGTCCATGTCCACGTCCATGTCCACGTCCATGTCCACGTCCATGTCCACGTCCACGTCCATGTCCACGTCCACGTCCATGTCCACGTCCATGTCCACGTCCATGTCCACGTCCACGTCCATGTCCACGTCCACGTCCACGTCCACAACCATGTGCACGTCCACGTCCATGTCCACGTCCACGTCCACGTCCACGACCATGTCCACGTCCACGTCCACGTCCACGTCCACGACCATGTGCACGTCCACGTCCATGTCCACGTCCACGTCCACGTCCACGTCCATGTCCAGGTCCATGTCCACGTCCACGTCCACGTCGACCTCCACGTCCATGTCCACGTCCACGTCCACTTCCACGTCCACGTCCACGTCCACGTCCATGTCCACGTCCACGTCCACGTCCATGTCCAGGTCCAAGTCCTCCACGTCCACGTCCACGTTCACGTCCATGTCCACGTCTACGTCCTCCACGTCCACGTCCACATCCACGTCCTCCACGTCCACGTCCATCCACGTCCACGTCCACGTCCACGTCCATGTCCACGTCCACGTCCACTCCACGTCCACTCCACGTCCACGTCCACGTCCACGTCCATGTCCATGTCCACGTCCATGTCCACGTCCACGTCCACGTCCATGTCCACGTCCATGTCCACGTCCACGTCCACGTCCACCTCCATGTCCACGTCCACGTCCACGTCCATGTCCATGTCCACGTCCACGTCCACGTCCACGTCCACGTCACGTCCACGTCCACGTCCATGTCCACGTCTACGTCCACGTAAACGTCCACGTCCACGTCCACGTCCACTCCACGTCCACGTCCATGTCCACGTCCAAGTCCTCGACGTCCACGTCCACGTCCACGTTCACGTCCATGTCCACGTCCAAGTTCTCCACGTCCACGTCCACGTCCACGTCCACGTCTACGTCCACGTCCTCCACGTCCAGTCCACGCGTCCACGTCCACATCCACGTCCACGTCCACGTCCACGTCCACGTCCACGTCGTCCACGTCCACGTCCACGTCCACGTCCACGTCCACGTCAGCGTCCGCGTCCACGTCCACGTCCGCGTCCGCGTCCACGTCCACGTCCACGTCCGCGTCCACGTCCACGTCCACGTCACGTCCACGACCACGTCCACGTCCACCTCCACGTCCACCTCCACGTCCATGTCCACGTCCACCTCCACCTCCACGTCCACGTCCACGTCCACGTCCACGTCCACGTCCACCTCCACGTCCACGTCCACGTCCACGTCCACGTCCACGTCCACGTCCACGACCACGTCCACGTCCACGTCCACGTCCACGTCTACGTCCACGTCCACGTCCACGTCCACGTCGACGTCCACGTCCACGTCCACGTCCACGTCTACGTCCACGTCCACGTCTACGTCCACGTCTACGTCCACGTCCACGTCCACGTCCACGTCCATGTCCACGTCCACGTCCACGTCCACGTCTATGTCCACGTCCATGTCCACGTCCAAGTCCTCCACGTCCGCGTCTACGTCCATGTCCACGTCCATGTCCGCGTCCAGGTCCACGTCCACGTCCACGTCCACGTCCACGTCCACGTCCGCGTCCACGTCCCCGTCCATGTCCGCGTCCACGTCCACGTCCATGTCCGTGTCCACGTCCACGTCCAGGTCCACGTCCACGTCCCCGTCCAGGTCCACGTCCACGTCTACGTCCACGTCCACGTCCACGACCACGTGCACGTCCACGTCCACGTCCACGTCCACGTCCCTGTCCACGTCCACGTCCACGTCCACGTCCCTGTCCACGTCCACGTCCATGTCCACGTCCATGTCCACGTCCACGTCCATGTCCACGTCCACGTCCATGTCCACGTCCATGTCCATGTCCATGTCCACGTCCACGTCCACGTCCACGACCACGTCCATGTCATTTGCACTCGAAGTTCCCATACTGACCGACCTGGCCAATGCACCATTTTCCATATACATATGCATTAGATTCCTTTCAAACCTTTTTAGTTCACTAGATTTATATATTTCCCACCTTCTGATCGAGTGAGACCGCTAGATTCCCTCTACTTTCTGAGAAATGAGCGTTTCCGTTCTCCTTGGCCCTAGTTGCACTATCAGTGCGAAATGCCGGCCAGACTGGCCGACGCACAATTTTCTCTACACATGTGAGTAAGTTACCTTTCAAACCCTTATGTTCACTAGATGAATATATTTCCTACTTTCTATTTGGGTGAGACCACTTGATTCCGTGTACTATGCGAGATCTGAGCTCTTCCGTTCTCCCTGGCATTTGCATTTTAAGTTCCGATACTGACCGACCTGGCCAATGCACCATTTTCTCTATACATGTGCGTTGAATACATTTCAAACCTTTTTAGCTGACTAGATTTATATATTTCCCACCTTTTGATTGAGTGAGACGGTTAGATTCCCTCTACTTTTTGAGAAACGAGCGTTTCCGTTCTCCCTGGCCCCACCTGCACTATGAGTGCGAAATGCCGGCCAGACTGGCCGATGCACCATTTTCTCTACACATGTGCGTTAGTTACCTTTCAAACCCTTACGTTCACTAGATGAATATATTTCCTACTTTCTATTTGAGTGAGACCACTTGATTCCGTGTACTATGCGAGATCTGAGCGCTTCCGTTCTCCCTGGCATTTGCATTTTAAGTTCCGATACTGACCGACCTGGCCAATGCACCATTTTCTCTATACATGTGCGTTGAATACATTTCAAACCTTTTTAGCTGACTAGATTTATATATTTCCCACCTTCTGATCGAGTGAGACCGTTAGATTCCCTCTACTTTTTGAGAAACGAGCGTTTCCGTTCTACCTGGCCCAACCTGCACTATGAGTACGAAATGCCGGCCAGACTGGCCGATGCACCATTTTCTCTACACATGTGCATTAGTTACCTTTCAACCCTTACGTTCACTAGATGAATATATTTCCTACCTTATATTTGAGTGAGACCACTAGATTCCGTGTATTATGCGAGATCTGAGCGGTACCGTTCTCCCTCGCATTTGCACTCTAAGTTCCCATACTGACCGACCTGGCCAATGCACCACTTTCCATATACATATGCATTAGATTCCTTCTGAACCTTATTAGCTCACTAGATTTATATATTTCCCACCTTTTGATCGAGTGATCCCGCTAGATTCCCTTTACTTTCTGAGAAATGAGCGTTTCCGTTCTCCCTGGCCCTACTTGCACTCTGAGTGCGAAATGCCGGCCAGACTGGCCGATGCACAATTTTATCTACACATGTGCGTTAGTTACCTTTCAAACCCTTACGTTCACTAGATGAATATATTTCCTACCTTATATTTGAGTGAGACCACTAGATTCCGTGTATTATGCGAGATCTGAGCGGTTCTGTTCTCCCAGGCATTTGCACTGAAGTTCCCATACTGACCGACCTGGCCAATGCACCACTTTCCATATACATATGCATTAGATTCCTTTCAAACCTTATTAGCTCACTAGATTTATATATTTCCCACCTTTTGATCGAGTGAGACCGCTAGATTCCCTTTACTTTTTGAGAAATGAGCATTTCCGTTCTCCTTGGCCCTACTTGCACTATAAGTGCGAAATGCCGGCCAGACTGGCCGATGCACCATATTCTCTACACATGTGCGTTAGTTACCTTTCAAACCCTTACGTTCACTAGATGAATTTATTTCCTACCTTCTATTTGAGTGAGACCACTAGATTCTGTGAACTATGCGAGATCTGAGCGCTTCCATTCTCCCTGGCATTTGCACTATAAGTTCCCATACTGACCGACCTGGCCAATGCACCACTTTCCATATACATATACATTAGATTCCTTCCGAACCTTATTAGCTCACTAGATTTATATATTTCCCACCTTTTGATCGAGTGATCCGGCTAGATTCCCTTTACTTTCTGAGAAATGAGCGTTTCCGTTCTCCTTGGCCCTACTTGCACTATAAGTGCGAAATGCCGGCCAGACTGGCCGATGCACAATTTTCTCTACACATGTGCGTTAGTTACCTTTCAAACCCTTACGTTCACTAGATGAATATATTTCCTACCTTATATTTGAGTGAGACCACTGGATTCCGTGTATTATGCGAGATCTGAGCGGTTCTGTTCTCCCAGGCATTTGCACTCTAAGTTCCCATACTGACCGACCTCGCCAATGTGAAAAGAATGAACAGGAATGAAATGACTAAGTCAGAGTTGGGTACAAATACAACCCTAGAAAGCTGTACCCCATATGTGCTACCCCACTATAGCCTACAAACATGCATCAGTTATAATACTCTGACACACCCCCATAGGCAAAGTGGGGGAGAACAAGGGGTCACAAGACCAGTCAAGCAAAGCAAAGCAAAGCAAGCTCAGGGTGGATCACAAAGTCACCACACAGTCCGAGCACAAGAGTAGGGCCAGAGGCCAGTTCACATGCAGGAGGACAGACATATATATAAAACTAGACAAGCAAGAGCAGGTATATATATATGTCACAGTACAAGTGAAGTCAAGAGGAGAGCAAGTGAGGCAAGACAGGCACAAGACCCAGCTGGGTGCAAAAGCGCTGATCGTCACAAGGCGCGAGTGCCTTGGTGAACACATCAGCAGTGTTGGCCTTAGAGGCCACGTACGCAAGTCGCAACTGACCACGCTGCTGCAGCTCACGAGCAAGGAAGTAGCGGAGAGCAATGTGCTTCGTTCTGTGCTCCAAGCGCTGCTCTCGACACAAGGCCAGCATGGCCTTGTTGTCTACGTACAGCACTGGAGGAGAACGAGGCGGCTCTCCAAGGTCAGTCAGCAGGTAGGTGAGCCAGCGAAGCTCCTGTGCAGCCATGGCCCCGGCGTAGATCTCAGCCTCACAACTGGAGCCGAGAACTAAAGACGAGCGAGTAGACCGCCACGAGACAGAGCCGGAACCAAGGCTGAAGGTGTAACCCTGTGACGACCGCTGCGTAGCCTGGTCGTCAGCCCAAGAAGCGTCCGCGTGGCCTGTAAGGACCACTGGACTCCGCCCTCCAAGCACTAGCCCCATGCCCGACGTACTGCACAGGTAGCGCAATACCCTCTTCGCTGCTGCCATGTGCTCTGGTCGGTGTCTCCCAGGAGCAACATAGCGTGCAAGAATGCTCAAAGGGTATGCAAGGTCAGGTCGTGTGCAGGTCATCAGGTACATGAGGCAGCCAACAAGCTCTGCATACGGACCACTCGACTCTAAGGACTCATCCGAAGGCAGAGCTGAGAGTGAGTGGCGAGTAGGCAGAGGAGTGGCCTGAGGCGAGGAGTACGTGAAGCCGAAGCGCTGAAGGACCTGCTGCACCATGTGTGACTGAGTCAAGGTAATGGTGCGGCGTGCTCTATCCCGAGTGATCTGCAAGCCAAGGTAGCTGCGCAGTTCACCCAGGTCAGTGCACGTGTGTCTCTTCAGCAGCTCGGACTTCACGTAGGCGAGTCCAGCAGTGTCCGCTGTGGCAAAGACCAAGTCGTCGACGTACACGAGGATGTAGAACGGCGGCAGTGAAGTGTCGGTGCGCAGAAACAGCGACGGGTCAGCAGTAGAGGGAGCAAACCCAAGAGCCGCAAGCGTAGTCCTCAGTGTGTCGTGCCACTCACGCGGTGCCTGGCGGAGACCGTAGACTGGCCGTCGGAGGCTCCACTGGGTGCCAGGAGGGAAAGTCCCAGTGAAGCCAGGCGGACGGCGCAGCCAGATCTCCTCGTGCAGGCTACCCTGCAAGAACGCAGTGCTGAAGTCGAGAGAGTGAAGCTCGTAGTCGCGCTGAGCGGCTATGTGCAGCAGCACCCGAAGAGTGGTCATCTTCAGGGTGGGAGAGAAGGTCTGAAAGTAGTCAACTCCCTGCCGCTGACTGAAGCCACGAACAACGTACCGCGCCTTGAAGACAGGTGGAGAGCCCGGCGGCCGCTTCACCCTGAAGATCCACATGCCACTGACGATGTTCGCCCCAGGAGGGGGAACTGCGTCAACGTAGGTGCCTGTGGACTTCCAGGAAGCCATCTCTGCATCCATAGCTGCCTGCCACTGAGAGGAGTAGGGACCCTCTACGGCCTCCGCGTAAGAGCGCGGAGTCGGGATGTCTAGTGCATCCGGGTCTCCCTCAGGAGCAAGCAGTACAGACGCGAGATGAGGTGAAGCAGCAGCCAGACACTGTAACTCCTCCTGCCTGTCCTCTAGGACGTCCGTGCCAAGAGCACTCTCACCCCCGACGGACGGAGGACAGACAGACGCAGACTCAGCAACAAGACTAGCAGCGTAGTCGAGACGACAGCGAGCAGCAAAGTCGACGAGCTCAGCGACAAGAGCAGACGCAGCAGTGGACTCAAAAGAGGGGTCAGTGACGACAGTAGCAAGCAGACGCGTGACAGTAGGACTGGCAGCACGAAGAGAGTCCAACTCAGGGTCAGCAAGCGCAGGAAGAGAGGACTCAGGAGGAGAAGGCAAAGGGGCACGCAGAGGAGCAGTGGACGGACGCAGAGACATCCGGTGTGTGCCAGGGACAGGAGGAGGACGCTGACGCGAACTGCGACCACTAGCGCGAGCAGCACGAACAGGCGACGCGGGACGAGACGCAGGCTCACGGCGCTCAGCAAGACCACCAGTAGGACCAGTGTAAGGAGAGGGAGCAGGCAGTGGAGAGGAAGGCTCCAGTAGGGACTGCGACTGGACAGGCGGTGAACCCTCTACCGGAGGAGAAAGACCAAGAACCTGCTGCAGGAGCGGAACGAAGTACGGCCGAGGCCGCGCGGCAGCTCCAGACTCAGCAGGGACAGCACCAGCACCCTCAGCGACAGCACCAGCGCCACCCACACCTCCAGCGGCAGGACCAACAGCAGTACCAGCAGCAGAACCACCGAGAGGACAGACAGCAGTGGTCTCAGCACCAACACCCTCAGCAGCTCCAGCTCCAGGAT